TTTATATGGGGGGAGAATCAAATGAAAATGATATAAAATCTAGGCTTGTTTGCATCAATTTTATTTTTATGTTTATTTTTTGCGTTTGAATTTAAAAATATGTTTGTTCAGTGTACTTTTCATATGCTTTTTATTATTTTTTTTAAAAATAAATCAACTTGATTTCAAAAACAATTTAAATAATTTTTAGATGGTTTAAGCGACACTCAAAACAAGTTGATTTATTTTCAAAATCCCAGAAATCTTTTATTTCAAATAAAGATATAAATAAAAAAAAAAATACCACATATCTTCTTAGATTTTTTTAGGAAGCAACATCTTTTCAAAACATTAGTTGAGAAAAATCCACAACAAACAGTGAAATCTGTGTAAAAATTTAAAGTTAAACTCAATTCCACCAATCACCAAAGAACAATAACGCCTATTCACTTAAAAAAAAATAAATCTAGCTGACTAGAATGAAATATCCACCATCCCATTATAAGTACATAGATCAATTTTGTGCCCATATGCCAGTACTTCATCAAACCACGTTTTCAATTTCTTATCTAATCTTATACTCAAAATATAATCAATCTAGATTACTAGAGACAGCCATTAACTTGCCATAGATAATAGCATAACAAATATTCTATCTATGCTTACAATGTATATTTTGATTCAAATTAACAATGAACAGAAAATTTCACTTTCTATTCTTCTAAATTTAAGTTATGCTTTAAAAACATATTAAAGATTTCAATTCAATCTAACATACAATGAGATGAAGTTTTAACATACCAACTTGTGAAAGATTTCAAATATACAAAAATATGATCATATTTTTAATATATTTATCAAATAAGACAATCAGAAAGGGTGGCAAATAAAAGCAAAAGTAAAAAAAAAAAAGATAATCCAATACGAGCTTTGCATGCAAGTTGATGTTAAAAATGTGTCAAACAAGTACCCACTCCTACGAAATTGCACATGAGAAAAAAACAATAAAAGAGAATGAGCTTTTGACAAGCTTTCCTTCTCAGCTCACTCGCAGGGCAGATTTGTAAATAAGAAAAAAAAATAAAGAAGATGCAAGTTCAAAAAACAAACATGTAGCTTCACTGTCAATAGCAATTAGCATGAAATGAAAATTGTCCATTATCATCAAAATTCAGAAATCTTCAGACAATATAAATAAAAATAAATAAATCCTATTTCTGAAATTCTGACAACCGGATTCCATTGCGCTGGTCAAAATAACCTGATCAGTTAAAACTATAAAGGAGTAAGACTATTGTTAAAAGCTTGCAATGGTGATCAAGGCTTTCATTGCATTAAAGAATGCTTACAAAAAACTCACATACAAGATATGATTGTTCAGTAGCATTGAATAATGGAAGCAGTTCTTTTCAAAATAAACAAAAAACTATTTTCTTAACACAATAAGAGTCTTAAGGGCAAACTATCTGTCAATATGTTTTAAGTAAAATAAAAATGTCAACAACTGGGGAATGGCCAAAAGCATACAGGAGCAAGAGATGTGCGGAATTAAGCTATTAATAAAAAGATGAAAAATAAAAGCTCAGAATGACCATTCTGTGAGAGAAAAACTAAAATGAGAACCCTAATCCTAACCCTAACCGTAACCCCTGAAAAAAGTATGACAGTAACTGTAAATTTGAGTGAATAATCAGAAGGCATCACACAAAAATAGCAAAGACGAAAAACAGGAAAACAGGATAATGTAAACACAAGGTTTAGTTTTGAGATAATCTCAAAAGCTCTCTGGGGTTGCAAATGATGCAACACAGCACTGAAGGAAACAACAGAAAAACAGGAAAAGCGAGGCAGATCAACCAAAACCAGTAAAAAAAATTAAAAAATGGGGGAAATTGATAAATTCAGGAGGAAGAAATGAAGAACAGGAACGAAGACTTAAACTCAAACAACAGAACAAGATAGACATCAAACTAGAAAAAAAGCTTTAAAAAATTGTCCTCCAGCTCGGACAACTCTCAGTAAAACCCTTGCGTTTGGTAGAATACTGCCAAAAAATAGAGAAGACGAAATCTAGAGCTCCACAAAGGTCCAGACTGAAAAATCATAGATCTAACTAATTAAAAATTTAAAACATAAAACAAAAAACAGAACTTTTAAAATTTCCGAAATGCATTATGTAAGTATAGAGCATCAGATCCCAGATCCAGTCATCCACAAACAAATGCAAAGCAGCGAGTGTGAAAGAGAGCAGCATACCCTCTCCGGTGGAGGAAATCTCGCTTCAACAGAACCAACAGCCACAGCTGCAACGCTAATGGACGCCCCACCTCCCGTGTTACTACCTCCTCTACCATTTCCAGCCATATTTCACATTCCCTTACCTCAACCCGAAGAACGACCAGAAACTCACACACTGATCACCAGAATAAAGCAGATCCCACAAGTTGCAATTTTGAAAACCAAAACCAAAGTCAGATCACAAAACCCACTGTCCTTCCAGTGTCCACTAAGATTTGGTTGCCCTCAACCGTCAATTCTCACAGAGAAGCGATCTCGAGAACCGGCATAGACTCAGGCCCGAGCTCCAAGTCCTCTCTCGAGCTCATCAAACGCATGGAATCGCGAGAGGCTTGGAGAAGAAGGATTGCAAAGAGAAGCTGTACGTATCAGGGTATAAAAGAGTTTCCTTTCACTCCCAAATCCGGGATCCTCGCTCCTCTGTTCCCTCCCACCTCTCACCCACTCCACTCCACTCTTCTCACTCGTTAAACTCGGACCAGATGCAGATCCTCTCTCCCCTCCCTTCTTAGTTCACCTCCCGCTCGCTCGCGTCCTCTCTCTCTCTCTCTCTCTCTCTCTCATGTATCCACGCACAACCCGCTCTCACTCGCTCAACTTTCTTCCCCCCCTCAAAAGTTTACTATTAACATAAAAATTCATTTAATGAACATGATGTGATGCTATTCGCTTTCCCGTGGGGAAAGGATGCGAGGGTTAACGTACGGAGATTCAAGAGCCTTGTTGGCTCGACCGCACCACCTCTTTTACTTAATTAATTTGTCTCTCTCTCTCCCTCTCCCTCTCCTCTCTCTCTCTCTCTCATCTCTCTCACTAGAATCAATAGATCTCTAGACCATCAAGTTCCAATCCTTTTCAATCAGACTCAATTTCACATTCCTCATGCATCCTCGTCGTCATCACCAAGGCAAAATAGGGAGACTGAATTGTGAAGTCACGAACTTTGAATATAGGTACTCCATGAGCCAAAGTCACGAACTTTGAATGATGCAGCAGCGCCGAGGAGCAGCAAGGACTACGGTGCAGTGAAGCAGAGAGGGATCATGTGGACCGTGCGGCGCTTTAATACTAAGGCTGATCACTCCGGTCCCCACACATTCTATCTTCTCTTCCCTCTCTCTCTCTCTCTCTCTCTCTCTCTCTCTCTCTCTCTTCCTCTCTCTCCCTGATCTCTGCTCTTGGCTGCTATACCTCTGCTCTCCACCTACATAGCAGCCCTGCACGTTCGCCAAATCGCCTTCTCATCTCTTCTCAGTGGACACTGCGGGCTTTCACAAGCTTTCATTAACGACCAAATGACAACATGAATAGCCTGCCTTGATTGTATACCGCTTTATAGTAGCTACATTCTGTATATACCAAGGAAAATGTCCAATAGCCCAAAGATACTAGTATATTTGAATGTTTTTTTTTTTCTAATTAGCAGCATTTGCATATATATACATATCACACAGTTCTTATATCTAACACTTAGACATTAATATTTACATGTATATTACTCGAATATTTAACTTCACATCAAAGATTCAAAAGTATCATTGATGCGTGCTAGAAAATTTGGCGGTAGAGTAATGGATTGTCATTTTAGTGTTGCACGAGAATTCAGCATACACTCGGGTAAAATATAATAACTAATAATGACACCAGTAGTTTTTACGTGGAAAACCCGTAAAGAGAAAAAATCACGGGATCTAACCCAAATATTAAAATTCACTACATGCTGATGATTACAAAAATTCATTTTCCCGCAGATGAGAAATGGTTCTTAAGTTTCCCAAATTACAACATCAACTGAGGGCTTCTGGTCGGTGGTTGTTGACATTGATTAGCGATGATCGACAGTGGTCAGCGGTCGGCGGCGGTTAGTAGTGGTTAATGGTGACAATAGTGTTTAACAGTGGTCAATGGTTGTCAACTGCGGTCGACAATAGTCAATGTTGATTAGTAGTGGTTGGTCGTGATTAACGGCTGTCGGCGGATGACGAAGACGTTCGACGGCGACCAATGATGGTGGACGCTGGCCAACGATGATCAACGGTGGTTGACTACGATCGACGATGATAGGGGTGGTGCTGGACTAGCTTATTCTCAAATCTATAAGTTCTCTCTTAAGCCTCCAGTCTCTTCTCATAAGAGAGGTAGAGCTCTACTTATAGTGTTCTTTGTGCAATGAATGCAGGAATATATAGAACTTTGATTGGACGGTTCAGAGGGCTTCCTTCGATCAAACTGTGTTTGATGAACAACTTAGCGCCTTAACGATGTCGAAATTGAGCAATTTTAGGCTCGTTGGATTTGTCTTGTTGAGATGCTCGATTAGATTATAAACTTGCTAAATTCGACATTCGTTTGACCTTTTAAATATTTGTAAAAAAGTTCCAAGCATAGTTTAATGATTTAATCTAAGCTTGATGTGATTCGGATTGAACTAATTTTGGTAATATTAGGTTCTTCTTATCGAGTCAGTCAATTTGACTATGCTTGCTAAAATTAGAGTTCTAGATGAGTTTTTATCGATGTTTGAATATTTCTTACTCAAAAAGTCACATTGAGATCTATGTCATGCCTCGCAATTTGTGTCAGATGTTGGAGTTTTGCTGGAGACATATCAGTTGCTCTCTTATTTTTGTGTGAGATCACATTGTCAACCACAAATATCAAGAACTAAAGCCTTTTCATTTTTGTCATGTATATATGTAATTATGAGTATGTATTATATTATTGTGAGAATTTATATAAGAATAATATAAATCTCTATAAGTTGAAGCAAATAAGTGCAACTCAGTTAGTTGGGGCTTTTTCTTCACGCAACGAGTGGCGGGTTCAATCCTTGCACTGAAAAAATATTAAGATTTTTTTACCATGGGCTCGAGGCTAGGACGGGTCGATGGGCCGAAGCTGAGAAGGCAGAAGAAGGCAGGCCGTCTGGGATGGTCCCGAAGCTGAAGAGACAGATCGGCCCGAAGCTGAAGAGATGAACGTGGAGGCCTTAGCAGTGGTTTTCCAAACCGTCGAATTTGGATCAGATTAAGCCGAAAAAGAGGAATTTTAGTAGATGTTGGGAGCCCAAATGATGAAATTTGAGTTGTTGTTTTTTTAATGAGCTATTATGTATTTATTTTAAAGAGTTATTATTCTTTTTTCCTTTTATTTATTTTTATTTTTTGGAGGTGTTGCTTTTTTTTAATAAGTTGTTGTTTTTTTTAATAAATATTTTTTTAGATGAATAAATATGAAATATTAAAAGGTGACAATATGAAAAGATTTTTAGTTTTTTTTTTTTTTATTTGAAATGGTAAATAGGAAGGCCATAAGGCGAAAGCTCCAAGGCCAGAAGCTAGAATATGGAAGGTCAAGCGATAAAGGAATTAAGATAGATTTCAATTTTTTTTAATTAGTTGTTTATACATATACATATATATCTAAAATAAAGTTGGTTTGAAAAGTAATTTAAGTGTATTTAATTTGTAATAATTAAACAAGAGAATATGAAGAATTTTTCTCTTTTAATACATGAAATAGTTTTATTTCTTGTTTTTAATTTGGAATGAAGAAGGTAGAAAGTCATTAGACAGAATGTCAAAAGTCGGAAGGTAGAAAGACGTGAATTAATGCAGATTTTAAATTTTTTAATTACTATTTTAATGCATTTATTTTTAGCCATAAATATTTGTGTTCTTTGAGCTTATATATAGGCAAATGAGAAGAGGATGCTGGTGGAGTCCCCGACTATGCCAAGCAGGTGATCTGAGATATCCCAAAAGAAGAAATTCGTCCCCTTTCTGCATAACAGGTGAGCAATGGAATCTTCTTTCACATTGCAGCCAAGAGGGCAGTCGTCCATGTTCTGCATAGCAGGAGAGCGACAGGATTGTCTTTTATATTGTGACCAAGAGGAAAGTCATCCTCATTTTGTGTAGCAAACGATCAACATGTTCTTCTTTTGTGTTGCGACCAAGAGGAATGTAATCACTGTTTTGTGTAGCAGGCAAGTAACGGACTCTTATTTCACATCAGTAAGATTAAGAAAGTTATCTCTGTCTCTGCCCAGCAGGTGGCTCGGGAGCTTCTTGCTTATTGCTGCTGTGTATTTCGATGAAGATGATGAAATGCTAGAGTTTTCTTGCTGCATTTTGACGTAGAGAATTTCATGCTTCTGTAGTGACGATATCTATTGTAGCCTTTGTACCAACTCTTGTTGGTCTTTGTAGATGTGACATTTGTAGATGATTGTAAAGTATTTCTTTGGACATCTTTGAGGCTACTTCTGAGGCTGATGTGGCTTTTCAATTGTACAAAATTCTACAATTAAAGTTAGCACACACACTTTATAAAATGAAGAATCATGTATCTTTTGAGGTGCGTGCCTTTTGAGGTTGCTCTCTCTCTCTGACTTATGCTTTATAGGAGCTTGACATTATTTGATACATTCTTAGGCTCATAGCCTTTTGAGGCCTTTGATGTAGATGTGTCTTCTGAGGCTTATAGTTTTTTGAAGTCTTTGATGTACATGTGCCTTCTGAGGTTTACTGCCTTCTGAGATATTTGATGTACCTGTGCCTTCTGAGGCTTGTAGCCTTCTGAGGTCTTTAAGTGGAAACCATATCAACCACATGCTCTCTTGGAGTATTTCTAGTGAGGACCCTGTCCACTACTAGCTTCTCATCAAAACTTGCCTTTTGGGCTCGTCTTCCAGAGGCATGGTAGCTTATAATCGGGTCTTCTCTACTGGACTTGAATTCTTAAAGCACCATAGCTTTCCATCGAGTCTTGTCTCATGGGCTTTACTTTCAGGGGTAACAGATCTTCCAATTAAGTTTTGCATTTTGGGCTTGACTTCCACAAAAATGGTAGCATCCTATTGAGACTTGCTTCTGATGCTTATCTTCTAGGTTCACCTTAGTTTCACATCGAGTCTTGCCTTCAAGGCTCAACTTCCAAGAGTACTAGATCTTTCAATCGAGCTTTCCCTCTTGGGCTTGACTTTCAGGGGCATAGTTGAAATAAGAATCCATTGAGGTTGTGAGACCATGTTGCCGCCTCCCCAATTCTTTGTGTTCATCACAATGTCGTTGGTTAAATTCAGTACTAGGAGTCTCTCTTCCTCAAAAGGGAAAGAA